CCCCAAAACCCCAAAACCCCAGTTTTAAAAATTTAACACTAGACAAGTTAATGAGATGAAAATTAATTTAACCAAAATTAAAGTATGTAGTCAATATTTATTTTCGAGATAATTAACTCTGTGGGTATGAGAAACTTGCATTTAAGGCCAATTCTCAGACATGTAATCCTAATTGCTCTAAATTTTAGCCTGACTTTTCTAATTATTTATTGCAATATATTACTCAAATTTTTTATATTTGTCATCATTTAACTTTGTAGTTATGGTAGGAATCTATATATTTACTGAGTCTCTTGAATTAGCTGATAATGGAATGCTTTTATCCGACTAGCAAGGCTTCAATGCAGCGCTTAACCTTCTATTCTCTTACTTTAATCCATTATAGATTATCTTTGGACTCTGATTTTCACTTGGCTTAATCTTACTCCCTTTGATGGAATTACTCTGATAGTAATGAGTTTGGACTGATTTCTATTGAATCTAGTTTTAAAGTTCATTTTGAGCACATGAGCTGGTTTTATTTTGATTTTTAAGTAAAGTAGCCAAATTTAAATTATGACTAGGAACTTCCTTAGCCTTAGGCTCATTCATATTTCTATAATCAGGTGGAGGTGAAGTGATTTAATTAACTTTGCTTTTTATTATCGATAACTCTCTTTTTTGCTAATCTAGAGTTTTGTTCATTCCTTCAATAGCTACTAGTTTCTTCTCAAGTTCTCCATGAAGTTTATTCTTAGCTGTTTCTAATTCATCTTATTTCTATTGAGAGGTAAGACTCTGTCTGCTCGAGGTATTTGTTGATTATTAAGTCTTTTAAATTGCAACATCTTTAAGTTATTAGCCAATTTTATGCTTATACATACTATCCCTTTGCTTGATTATTTACTTTAATGCTTATTCAGTTTCTTCTAGTTTTAATATCTTTTTATGACTCTTTTTCAGTTAGCTTTATAACTCATTTACCTATGATTCACTTTCTACAGAGCAATCTCTTATATTCCTGATATTTTGTTAAGTCTTGGATACCAATTTAGCTAAGCTATTCCTACTGTTATTACTTTTAAACATTTTATCAGCATTTATCATTATGTACTTGCTATAGTTAGAGTTTGGTGGGGATCTTGATTGATATCTTTTCTCATTAAATTCTATATTATCCACTTAGTTACTCTTTATCATATCAATTAGTCTATCTTTTATTTCATTGAGATCCTCTTAGCTAAAGGCACAATATTATTCCTCACGGTTGTCAATAATTTAAGTAAACTAACTCTGACCCTCAAGCAGAGTAAGTTTTTAAAGAATAAGTTCAAGCTTATTCATAATCATAAGTTTTTCCTTATCCCTTGTATTAGCAAAATCTTTTATCTAAGCATCTGATTGTTATCGTTGAGAATCTATTTTATGTTCCATGGATTTCTATAACTTTTCTATCTAAAGATAGAAGTCTTTCTCTCTTTACAAATATTATATCTAATCTCTTTGCCTTGATTACTTTTCATTAAACAATTGCAATTCCAAAGTTTTGATTTAATTTTGTTGTTCTGCTTATCTCTTCTCAAAGTTTAATGATTTCATTTCCATTTCAAATGCTGCTGTGCTTAGCTCTTTTTCCTTAATATGCAGGCTTTAGATGTGTTTCCTAAGTTTCTTTTCACTCTTTTGAATGATTGTTGTATTTTAAGTTGATTATCTTCTTGTTTGGAACTCTGAATCAATCATCAGCTTTAGTTTATCAACTATTTCATCTGATACACTCTTTTCATTCTAATTAAAATATTAGACCCTGAAAGATAGCATATAATTACCGCATTGTGTGCCTCATCTTCAGACATATTTATAATTTAAATCATCTTGTTATTCTGCTTCTTAAGATTTTCTTCCCTATACCAGAATGGATCATTTAAATTCTGATTAATACCTCTCCTTGGTCTCAACTAGGTCCATTTAAAGCAGTTCATTGCTTTGTTTTAATATTGAATTTTCCTTTACTAGTTCTTATTCCTTAGCTCTCATCAGCTAAACATGAATTAAATTGCTGTAATTATACATCTAATTGAACTTTGAGGTTTTCATCAGTATTTGACCTTGCTGAAAAGTAAACATGCTCACTTAGACTATACATACTATTCGCTTAGCTTTTTGCCCCTCTTTGCATTATTTAAAAATATTCGTTAATATGCCAATTATTATTGCTAGATAATTAACCGGCTTGATGGTGTCTTTTAAAATTTATTAATAATTAAAAGAGATATTCTGAATTAGATTAAAATGGAGCAGGAGTTTAAGGGAGAGGAGGTATTATCAAATGTCAATTAATCCCACTGTATCATTTGTCTTGAAGGATTGGAGGTAGTGGGTCCACATTTGGTGAAGCTCCAGCCATGTGATCATTACTTATGGTACTCTTATACTTTAATTATCTAAAAATATTAGCTAAAATTGCTTTGAGCTCTACTATTAAAAGAGTGTCAAGGATAAGTGCCCGGCATGCCAAAAGTTTATCGAATAGTATAGAACATTTAACCAGGATTCGAATACTCTTTCTGATGCAAATGACTTCTAAATTCTCATATAGGATAGAAAAAAGGAAAGCTTTGATGAGTCTTCCAATCCTTATGAATGTCTTGATCACTAATTCTTTTCCTCAGAATTAACTAAATTGATTCAGGTAAGAAGTGAGATAGAGTAGGACAGATTCCATAGAAAAGTTTTTAATAAGGATCCTAATCTTTAAGCTAACATAGATCTAGAATGGAATTGTCTTAAGTAGATTGAACTGAGACTATATGATTTATAAGATATAATTCACTCAATGAAGCGATTTGAATCTGATTAGATGATAAAGGAGGTCCATGAAATGACAGAGGCACTGATCAAGATAAAAGCAGGTAGAATGACTAATGAATAATTTACTGGTCTAAATTTTGAGGATCATCACTTTAACAATCATAATTATGCAGACGATGATATGAATGATGATTATTATGATGAATATGGTATTGAGGATTATGGAGATGAATAATATGGAATAGAGTAGTGCAAGTATGTTACTAAAAGTTTGAAAAAAAATAAAAAGCCATCTATAAAGTAAACTTCAAATATTATTACATAGCAAGTTAAAAGAAAGGCATGAAGACTAATCTGACAAAACTTACTGATCAAACAATGAATTTAAACTGAGTCACTCGAGTATTTTAATTGATTTTTAAATTTTCCATTTCACATTAATTGCAATTATTGAAAGCATGGGGTTTTGGGGTTTTGGGGTTTTGGGG